CCGCTCACGCACCATTTTCGATCCAAAAATAAAACATTCTAGTTCCGTAGCCGCAGCAAGAATGCACCGTTGGTTCAACTTACTTGCGAGTTGCCAGTACACCATCCAGTACCCAAAGGGTGGTTGCATTAGAAATGCAGACGGGTTGTCAGGGCAACCATTACCTTTCCCGCGGACGCAGGAAGCTGTTCATTACTTCTCGCCCGTTCTAGACATGCCGCTAACAGTTAAAGATGTCGCAAAAGGAACTGAGAAAGACGAGCAGCTAAGGGAAGTTCGCGAGGTGAGCAAAGTGGTGGACGAAGAACTAAACCGTACTTTGTAAGACGGTACGAGCTATCATTGGACATGAAGTGTCTCCTATAGAGCAACTGTGTGGTTATTTCAAGTTCCTTGAGGAGAAGTGTCCTGGATCTTCTGCGCGAAGAACATCCAGGCATTAACAAGATGTAAATGCTTGCTCGGGGGATCGTGTGGTGCCGAAACATTGACAAAGACCTTGAGAAGTCTGTCAAAAGGTGTGACATTTGTGACAGTGTCCTCGCTTCGGTACCATCAGCACCGCTACAACCGTGCTTGTGGTGTTCCAACAATTGGGAACGCGTCTGCCTGTACTTTGCCGAAAAAGATGGCAAGACCTTTTCGGTAATGGTCGACTCGCACTCCGAGTGGGTTCAAATCAGACTCATGTCTAGCAGAACCGCTCAAAAAAGAGTAGAGGTTGTGTGATCGATGTTTGCTTCCTATGGACTACCGGTCGATGTTGTGACAGAGAGTGGTCCACAATTTGCGTGTAACGAGTTTCAAGAATTCCGTCGTCAGAACGGAGTCAAGCATATGCTAACGCCGCCATACCACCCGAAGTCAAATGTGGCCGCTGAACGGGTAGTTCAGACTGTAAAGAAGGCTCTATTAAAATAGTTCTTGGCAGACCAAAAGAATGCCTGCACAAGAAGCATGCAGCACAAGGCCGACTTTTTTTTTTTTCATCCAGAATGACATCGCATTGTACGATCCGACCTGGAAGCACCCTATTATGTTTAGACTGCTACTCATCCTCGCGCACCGCCACAATATACTGAACCTTCCGACTTCAGCCTCTGGAATGCCGGTTTTTCCAAAACCTCCATCATTTTGTTTTATTAAAATTATGGAAACATGTTATGGTATTTTTACATACATAATTGCTACAATATGTTGCCTGATGAACTCCTCAAACTACAGTAACTCGCAGATGTCAAGAAAGAACTCAGAGTCGTTGTGTACAAACTACAGTTTCTTACTTTATTTTAAGGGCTGTTTAGGGTATACCGTGTTTGTTTTTTCTCGATATGTTTTTTTTTTCTGTGCTTGTCCCTCCTCCGCTGTGGGTGTTTACTTTTCAGTGGTATAACTATAAAATCAGATCAAATATTTATTAAAAAAAAAAAAAAAAAAACTGGAGGGATTGCCAGAAAAAGAGGCTGCTGAAAAACGGCTTGTTTGGTTCTGGGATCCATTAAGCATTTCCGCAGGTTGTGAAGCCCCACGCAAAAGTGTTTCTCTGCTTTTGCTGGCATGTACGTGATATTGTATTTTTTGACTGCGTAATTAGAAACTTAATTCTTTATATTTTGACCGTTTTAATAGATAACCATATTTGAACCCACATTACAACACTACTTTAACACAAACGAAGCAGCAAGTCGGTTCCAACCATCGCATTCGGTGAAACGCAACTTGCATGTGCATTGGGATTAACACTTAACGATTTTCCTAGCGATGTAAATAATTGTACATATTCCTTATGGCAGTGTCCAGTGCCAAAACATTTAGTTGCAATGTATGTGTCTAGCATATAACTTCGTTTCTACCGAGTGGAGTATCTATGGTGGCTGCGGAAGAAGAAGAAAACGTCTTCCTCGAGCCCCTCGGGACAATGATGATCACGAGCAGACAGGGGTTAGAATGACTACAACGCTCACTGCCGTCTCCACGATTAAATTGTGATATACATATAAAATTGAGTCACATCAAGTGTATCGGATTCGCCTTTTAAGACGGAGTTATTAAGCGCTTATATTTGGCACAAAGCTACTAAAATATTCTTAATTTGTTTCTCTACTGATGGCCAGCCGTAAAATACTGAAGAAATGCAGGCGCTAAAAACCTACGAACGCACTCTTCGCATTTTTTGGGGAACGAAGGCTGGTAGCAATTAGAGAATAAAAATAAGTTTTAGTAGCAGTTATACTGTTTTAAAAATCGCGTTTTGCAAATTCACGCAACCAGCCCTTCGCAAAACTTGCCCAATTTCGTAATATACTTTGCTTACCCTTACGCAACGCAGCGCTTTAAGAACTTTCGAACTCGTTCTAGTGTCACTCGACGAAAGCATATCACAATCCCTTTCAGGCCGGGCTTTAAAAGAGTGCAACTAAACTGGCGCCTCCCAACGTCGCAACAATCTTTGGCGAACTCAGAAGTGATAGGAACTTATATTTTCAAGCCAGACGATATAACGAACAAAGTAAAGTTCCCTCAAATTTGGTCGAAGCTGCCTTTCTTTTTTTTCGTTTTTTTGGCATTTCTGATTAGCTTGAGTGCGGCCGTCGAGATAATGTCTCCCATTTGCATCAAAGTATACGCTTTTCGGATTAGGGAAATGGGGAAATCTTGGGTGGACGGTAAAGCGTTCTTCTTCAGTGGACCACGGCAACAATTAGCAGTGTCTTTGAAACGTCAGAGATTATTATTGGAATTAGTTGAGGCGACACCTAGACTTCTCGTTTGCATTTTTTTGTTGTCTCGTGTCTGAGAGGAGGTTCGCCCATAGGCTGTGACACTGTCTTCCAAGCTGAATAGGCTGGGGAATGATCTCTTTGAAGCCAAGTGTGTAGTGATGGATTAGTGATTGGGATATTGAGAGAGACGAGAGACTCCAATGGAAGGAAAAACTCAGAAGGCGAGAAGGAGCAAGAAAAAAGCGAGGAAAATATCGATAGAAAAAGTGAAAGCCGTTTACAACTTCCTGTAACGCCGAATTGGAGCGCAGCTCTTGAGGAGGAGGAGTGGAGGGTATATTCCTCCTCCTCCCTCGTGATCATGCCTGCTAGTCCTCCTCCCCTCCTGCTCCCCCTCCCTCTCCTTTACCACCTCCTCGTCCTTCAAGCTCCTCCCCTCCCCTCGCCTCCGCCTCCTCGTCTCTCCTCCCCCCCCTCCTCCACCTTCGTACTGCTTTCCTCCTTGCCGCTCAAGCCGGAAAGGGTCGCGTAAGAGCTGTGCTCTGAAATATAGAGTCAGGACAAATATTTTGGAGGGTTGAAATTTTATTGATTGGGGAAAAACCGTGGTGTATATTGGAAACTGCGTTGCATATCCAGCCAAGGTTTACGCTAATAACGTACAAAGCCAACGTACGCAATTGTTATACCAATGTACCTTAAAGTTTGCTCCGCGAGTTTCCAATTTACGTCCTGGATGAAAACCCCATTATTAATTTAACTAAAACGCCATGATCAGCCGCCGTGGTACGATGTTCAGCAGCCTCTCCTGTGTAGCAGCCAACCAGGACATGGAAAAAAAGCATGTAGTTAAGCAGTGGGCAAATCTTCCCAGGGTTTATGCTTGACATCCATGCTTAGTTAGAAGTTGAAATGCTGCCTACCTTTTTTTTGTCTGCTGTGCGTGAGCAGCAAAACGTTTTCACTTCTAAGCTTACAAGGATTTCAAGGTGACTTGATCACCAGACTAAAAGTGGGATGGACACTGGAACATGGGCACTCGGCGGAGTATAATATAAAAAAAACACTTATAATAAGTGAAACAAGCGTAAAAAAGACACTTTAGAGAAGCTACAGGCAGGCACACCATCTTAAACTTGATAAGGGACTTACCCCAAACATGGTGTTGTGATTTGTTTAGATCTGACACAAGATGAACTTCAATACTTGATGATGAAACAGGGTCATGAAAGTCGTCACATGCTTGGAACACACCTACAATAAATGTAGCGAAGCCGGTCTGAACTGTGTTAATGACGTTTACAATGTTTTCGTCGAACGTCTTAACAACGCTGTCGGCCATGTTAAATTCGAATGAAAAATATTCAAGCTCTAGATACTTAGAGTGTGTAGTTCCAGTAGCAAAGGAACGAAGAGGCCCCGAGCTATGACATTCCCTAAGTTCCAAATGTGCTCCAAGCAAAGGGGGGGGGGGGGGGGGGCGGGAGGGAACGGAGGGGAGGGTATGCCCCTCCTCCTTATCCGTACTCTCTCGTCGTCCCCTTCTCCTCCTCTTGTGCTCCTCCTCCTCTTTTCAGGTATTTGGATTTTGCGATATACCGTACTGAACTATGTAATATATTGTGGTATTTTTGCTCACCGCTTGTACGGAGAAAGGGAATATATTTGTCAGATCTGGAAGCTCCAATGTGATTTACGATTGATGAGACCGCTTGCTTGCACAACACGTATCTGGCATCTCCTCTCCTCCTCCTCCTCAACCTCACCGTCCTCCTCCTCCTCTTCGTCTTGTACGACTTGCACGCTCCAACTGATAACGAAGCTGGTAGATGCTCCTCCGAGTGGCCCGCCTAACACCTCTCAAGGTACGCAAGACCGTCGGAGGGAACAATTTCCCAGCTTTCGTTCTTCTCCTCCTCCTTTCTTCCTAGCGTGCAGTCCATATCGTCGCCAAAGTTCGGCGTCCAAAATCCCCACAATATATACAAATATAGAGCAATCTCCTCCTATACTGGTGCTTTAAATAGCACTCTTATCCCAGTCCTTGATTGTTATGAAGGAAGCCTTGTGATCTGAGAAGTGACAGGATATGTGTTCCAGGTGATGGACCAAAGGCTGATTTTGAAAGACGAGGTCTATGCACGTGTTTCGAGAGGTCGTCACAGTGGTGTGAGCTGTTACGAGGGAGAGAAATGGGAGGTTTTCCTGCATAAGTGGTATGAAGTTCTTATTCTTCTTTAAGTCTGCATTAAAGTCCCCCACTACTAACATGGGTGTGGACCCACATGTGCTTAACGCAAGTCGCAGAAAATGCACGATATCTTTGGTGACTGCTGTAGGCGAGATATACAGAGCCACCACTACCAAGCCGTTGTCGAACTTGGCGCCACAAAGTTCTCCAACTTCGTCTGACGTTCCAAATATCTCGATGGGTACGGCAGACAGACCCTTACGCACGTAGATGGCCACCCCTGCCGCTCTGTTGTGCTCTCTACTGACGCCGCAGCAGTACTGGTAGTCCATGATTTCTACCGCCTGTTTTGGATCCATCCACGTTTCCGAGAGGCAAAGTACAGATGCATGGCGTAGGATGGGGTCGTGGTGCACGTCCTTGGAATGCGCCGGCAGAGAGCGAACATTAAGTGCGGCGACCGAGAACAAGTGCGGTTGCTTAATCATTGCGTAGCACTTAGCAGTGACAGTTTGGAGTTTGTGTGACTGCAGCCGACGAAACTCATCAAGTAGTACCCTGTCGGGATTGGGCTTGCCGAACGTAAAGTCATTGTCCACATTGGTGAGGTAGAGCCCGTTGATGTCTGTAGCACGACTCAGTGCCACGTATACCAATTTCTGTGGATGACTCTTGGCATACGAGTACACCACGTTTTCATACGTGCCTCCCTGTGATTTGTGAATGGTGATAGCACTTGCTTGCACAACGGGTAGCTGGCATCTCCTCAGGGATATCCTTGACTTCTTATCAATGACGCAAGTGACTGTGCGTCTTTCGATAGGTGTCCAATTTTGCTGAATATTTCTGTCGAGTGCCCGTAACTGCCGGGATTTTGCGGCCGCCACGGTTCCAATCGCAATTTTGGAACCAAGCTCACCGAAATGCAGCCAGATGCGTTCCGGCTCTCGGAGCGTGTCGTATTGTATGTACTGCAGTATTCCAACAGAGCCATTGACCAGACCATCGGAAACATCGACATTGAGTGTGAGCATATATGGTTTTCCAATGCATAGCATTATATTAGCTGGCAGGTTTCCGAGTTCGGCCTTGGGCAGCGTTTCGGCCTTGCGCATTGCCTCTGTCTTCTCCTGCATAGACCTGAATCCAACGATTGTGTCCCGTGCCGGACATGCCACACAATTATCTTCGGTTGCAATGGCCGTGTTCGTATTGTAGTAGTCCGATTCCTTGTTGGAGTAGTACAAGCGGATGCCACCGGGACAACACGTTTCTGCTTGTTGTTGCGTGACGAACCGACTCTGGATCAATGCGATTTCTTCGGAATCCAATTCTGCACCGTCTCCAATTTTGGTAAGTATGGTGGAAAACCTGAGATCGCTTTGCCTTACGACCTTCGTGAGGACAAAGTATGACAAATGGTGCCATGCGATTTCCGTGTTAAACACACTGTTCGTCTTGACGCGCTTGAAAACCTCGGCGGCACGAACGGGGGGAAGCTGGCGCAGGTCTCCGCAGAGGATGATGTCTAACCCGCCGAAAGGCTGTAGGTAATTGCAAGTGATGATGCGGAGTCGCGAGTCCACTTTCTGAAGGATGTCGGCGGACATCATGCTAACCTCATCAATAATCACGCACCTGACGTTCCTGAACGCATAGCGGAACGTGTTCAACTCGTTGTCCCGCAGTCCGCCATCCCTATTGATGGTAAGTCTGAACGCTGCATGTACAGTTATTCCACCAAGCGCGACCGCCGCTTTTCCAGTTGTAGCACAGGCAACATAGGCGTTTACATTATCTGAACCAGCAGGGTTGCAATATCTGTTGTAGACGTCCATGATGAGACGCAGTACAAATGTCTTCCCACATCCAGCCACTCCCGTGAAGAAGATTTGTAGTGGCGGAGAGTCCGGTATAGTGAGTCTATGCACGACTTCTCGGACGATCTCGTACTGCTCCTCATTCGTCTTCCGCATTGTGTCCAGGTACTGATCTCTGCTCATGACGTCTTGGCGCGTGCACACGGCGGGGCACTGCTTAAACGGAGCATTGGATTGGACCATTCCGATATCTAGGAGATCGGAGTCGTCGTTTTCCATGGCCATCGGGTGCAGTCTCACATCTGGGAGCTCAGAAGTGGCACAATGTTCCTCGTCATTTGACTGGAGCATGGAATTACAAACGGCACGAATTTGCTCAATGTCTACGTCACTGTGGTACCGTGCCTTGTTCTGTAGAATGACGTCGATGTTTTGCTCATACAGACGCTCGAAACAGTTTTGGTCTAAGATGTCAACTTCTTTGCGGAATGGATAGAAAAGCAGGACATGTTCTCGCTTGAAGTTGACTGAATCGTCTACGGAGTAACCGCGGTAGCGAAGTATCCGTCGCTGATTCCTCTTTCTGCAGGTATATATGTTGTACTCGGTAGCGAACTCTGCTAGAGTAACAGGTTCCAATTCGGGAATGCGGTCTTCGTAGCGCTCGATCATCGTCCGTTTCCATACATCAGTGCTTGATTCTACTAAGCCTTCCTGCGCCATCTGAGCGTTAGACTTCCGAATGCGCGTCCTCTCCTCGGGCCATGCAGAGTTCACGAAGACAACTTTGCGACTCGCCTCCGACATATCCTGGTTGAGCAAACACCATGCGGCCTCCTGTGCGGACAGTTCAATGGCATTCAACATTTTCACACCTAGATGTCTCAGTGCCTGAGAATAGGCCATATCCCCCTTCTCCTTGACAATTTCTTGCACTGCTCGATTGAGGTTCGACATACCTCGGTTGGCCTTGTTTACATATTCCACCACGTAGGCAGCACACGCGTACGTGTCGAGGACGATCTGAAGATCCATGTTAGAATCGAGAATTGATGCAACCCATGGGTTAAAGTAATTCACCCACTTTTGCTGCACAGTACGGGGTAGCATGATGGTGGCACGAGGAGTGCCTGCTCGGAGAACAGAAATGTACTCCGCCTTGTCCGCGACACCGTGATGTTCCCAAAACTGCTCCATGGAGTCATAATTTGTCGTTTCCAGGGCCTGATGCATGGCCTCGTACTTGTTTAGGAGGCTCTCGATTTTCTTCTTCTGCGCTTCATTGTCCACAGTGGGGAAAGGCACTACGACCATACATTCATCGATGGGCATAAAAGGCGCGTTAAAGCGGCATCTGGTGGTGTTGTGCTTGTAGCAGGTATGCGTGTGTTGGTGCACCTGAGTCCGCTCGCGCTTCAAGCATCCGTTGTCGATGGAAAGTAGAACGTTGGCTATTTCAAGAGTCTGGGGCATGAGCATCGAGAGCTCCTCGTTGGGCGCGTTATGAAGCCAAAGGAGAATGTGCGCGTGTGCCGACCCGCGGTGCTGAAATTCGATCCGCTTAAAGTAGTCGACGACTATGTACGGCCTAAAAGGCGATACACGGGTGTTGCGGAGAATGTTGAGAATGACACGCACCAATCGGTCGAAATATATGGCACAGACCACGGGATCGTCATTTACTAGCTGAGCTCGATAAATGCTGTTCATTTGCTCCAGTGGTACTTCGATCTCGCCGGGCTTCAACCGAAGGCGTTGAAGCAACTGCAAAAGGTCGGGCCAGTGCATTTCCGAGGCAGAAAGAGTGAGGAACGCGGTCGGCTTACCCAACTGCCGTATCATAGCAAAGAGGTCTTTCTTGCGTTTTGTCCAGTACTGCACGGTGTTGGGTATACCATGCATGAAAGCCATGTCGTGCTCGACCGCTTGCTGCACAAAATCCTTGTCGAGCAACTGTTGCTTCGTTAGTGTTTCCAGTGCCTTTATGTTACGGAAGGCCACACACATGTCGCCGGCTACTCGGTGCCTAAACACTTTCATGGCCATGTACAGTACGTGCTGTGGGGTGGCCCCTCGACGGTCTGACCTGCGGATCTCACTCATGGCGTGCGTGAAGACTGTCGGTTTTGCGCTGGCATCTACTCGGCGCGGCTCACCGAGATAGATCTGTGGGAACGAGAGCTCCTCTGCGTGTTCGTCGTAAAGGATGCTCACGGGCCTTTTTCCCTCACCTGGCGCAATCGCTAGAAACTTGTCTTCGTCCCATACGAGAGTGTGCTGAGCCAGAGTCATGGCTGTAGCCACTTGGATCGGATCGTTGAGGTCTGAGCATTGCGGGAGCAACTCGATCTCGTCGTGTTCGTCCACTTCTACGATATCCCCCAAACGGGCAAAATCGCACTTTATATTATAATGCTTGTACAGCGTGCTATCACTCAGCAGCTTAAGCCACGGCAGCAGATCACATTTTCTTACTGCCCCTGCCAGGTACGTCGTCTTCGCAAGCATACGCCGCTTCAAATGTACATTGAGGGCTCGGTCTTGTTCGATGACACGAGGCAACATTGTCACGATGTCGTCCACATCAACACAGACGTTCACTACTGGTCCCTTAATGCCGTGTTGACCTCCACCGTGCATCAGCCGTCGCAGTTGCATGAAAGGAATTCGTGGAGATATGAGTCTCTCACTGACCGCGTTCAATAGTGGGAGGTGGGCTGGCTTTGGGGGATATACATAACCATTACTTGAGGAAAGATGAGGAATATGACCCTTGCGCACTGATTGTATGCAGGTCGAGCACAGTTTGAATTGGGTTAGGTCCGAGTTTGGAAATGATTGCTCTAGGGTCTCGTGACATCTGTCCGGTAGCGGTTGCAAGTCGTTTTGGAACCAGAGCCGATCACAGACTGAACAGACGCTCCCAAACGGGTTGTCTCTAAACAGCCGTTGGAAAATTTTTGTTGCACCGTCAGACTTAGCGATCCTTGCCTTTTGCTTGGCTTCGGCTTCGGCGGCGCTCACTCCTGGCTGCTCTCGGCGGCGGCGATGAGCCGCTGCCTCGGCGTCGCGCACTTCCGGGTCCTCTCGACGGCGGCGCTTAGATTCAGCTTCAGCAGCGCTCACTTCTGGCTGCTGTCGGCGGCGGCGATGAGCCTCTGCTTCGGCGTCGCGCACTTCCGGGTCCTCTCGACGGCGGCGCTTAGATTCAGCTTCAGCAGAGCTCACTTCTGGCTGCTCTCGGCGGCGGCGATGAGCCTCTGCTTCGGCGTCGCGCACTTCCGGGTCCTCTCGACGGAGGCGCTTAGATTCAGCTTCAGCAGCGTTCACTTCTGGCTGCTCTCGGCGGCGGCGATGTGCCTCTGCTTCGGCGTCGCGCACTTCCGGGTCCTCTCGACGGCGGCGCTTAGATTCAGCTTCAGCAGCGCTTACTTCTGGCTGGTCTCGACGGCGGCGATGAGCCTCTGCTTCGGCGTCGCGCACTTGCGGGTCCTCTCGACGGAGGCGCTTAGATTCAGCTTCAGCAGCGTTCACTTCTGGTTGCTCTCGGCGGCGGCGATGTGCCTCTGCTTCGGCGTCGGGCACTTCCGGGTCCTCTCGACGGCGGCGATTAGATTCAGCCTCAGCAGCGCTTACTTCTGGCTGCTCTCGGCGACGGCGATGAGCCTTTGCTTCGGCGTCGCGCACTTCCGGGTCCTCTCGATAGCGGCTTCTGGCTTCCGCTTCGGCGGCGCTCACTCCTGGCTGCTCTCGGCGGCGGCGATGAGCCTCTGCCTCGGCGTCGCGCACTTCCGGGTCTTGTCGACGGCGCCGTTTAGCTTCAGCTTCGGCGGCACGCACTGCAGGATCTTGGCGCCGGCGGCGCTGAGCCTCTGCTCGGGCAGTGCGTTTAGCAGCAGCTGCTTCATCTGACTCGCTCATTTTGTGGAAAAAGAACTGCCTGATTACGTCTCGTCGTCGTCGTCTTTGTGATACAGTCATGCTGGATCACCGCGGCGGCGGTGCTGACCCTCTGCTCGTGCAGCACATTTAGCAGCAGCTGCTAAAGCCCCTTTATCGTGAGAAAAGTGGCTGCATAGATTGTTGTGGAAATGCTCGAGACACGTGCCGTGCGTTAATTCTGGGAAGAACATGGCCACTGTAACATGGCATCTGAAATCTAGTTTGAATTAAAGTTTAAATGTGCGCTGTGCCGCCATGATCTTTCCAAAGTCTGCACGTTGCACGTGCCTTGTGCATCGACGCACCGTGGGCTACTTTTACGACATGAACGCGTTTTAGCAGTTTTTGGCTTCTCTTTGTTCTATTGTTTTCCTGCTGCAGGGTTTTTCAACCCTGCAGCAGGAAAGCGGAAGCCGGCCGGGTGACAAGAAAGAAGAGTCCTTTAAAATAATTTTTCGGAAAAATGAAAATTCGGATTCGTCCGCCCTGCTTATCCTGCCTGCTCCCCTGCGTTCTCCTCTTCCCCTCGCGGAGGCCACGTGATCTCGGGGGAGGGGGGAAGGGAGGGGGTAGTCATGTGACCCTCCCGAGGTCACGTGACCCCGGGGGGTGACTCCCCTCCCCCCGCCGGGGTCACGTGACGCCCCACCCGAGGTCATGTGACCCCATCCCCCCGAGGTCACGTGACCCCCCGGACCTCTGCCTTCCTCCTCCTCCCCCTCCTCCTTCCCCTCCTCCTCGCCCCGCAAGGTCATGTGACCCCCTCCCCCCGAGGTCATGTGACCCCCCGGACCATACTAGACAACGAGGGGAGGAGAAGGGGGAGGAGGAGCGGAACAGGAGGGGAAGGAGGAGGATAATGAGGGGAGGAGGAGAAGGGGGGAGGAGGAGGGGGAGGGGGAGGGGGGGGAGGAGGGGGAGGGGCGCGGTTACGCCGACGGCGACGCCGACGCCGACGCCGACGCCGACGCCGACGCCGCTCAGGCTCGAAACGGGCCCCTAAGAGCTCCGCTCTAAAAGTGAACTAAAGAAGCTGTTGTAGAGGTAATAAGGACTTTGAAATAAAAAAGAAAACAAGTGAAACAAGACCACGATGCGCAGGGCAGTCTCTGGATGTGGAAGTATTTTGTTCAGACACAGACTTGAGAGGTATTGTTAAGGCATCTGCTCGAGGTAGGAGCGCTTTCAATGAAGGCTTGCTTAGTAGGTGATAGATTAAGAAACACGTAATGTGGCGAGTTTTTAAAATCTTAATATCGCTTTACAACCAATGAACTTTAAGCCTCAGTCGACACGAAGGGCGAGGAACGAATCACAAAAGGAGACGTGTAATCATAACGTGCCCCGCTCTGAATTTCGAAGCTCTTAATCACTAGGGAGTTGTAGTAGATCGTTTTTAGGGGCGAAGCTCTTTAGGGGCTAGCCATGTCCGTATGTTCGTCCGCCGTCGGGTGCACGTGCTCCTGCTCGTGAGCTCACGCGCTCACGTGCTCACGAGCACGTGAGCATGTGCTCCCGTGCTCGTGTAGGGCAAAAAAAAAACAAAAAAAAACAACAACCGCATCTCCACGTGGTGAATGATGTTGATTGGGGCGAAGCTCTGGTGGTGCTTGTCTGCGTAGACGGTGACCCGCAGCATGCCGAACCTTTCGTTCGTGGTATGGACCGCAGCGTGACATGCATGAAAAAAAAAAAAAAAAAAACATCTGGCCGCAGCGTGACATGGATGAAAACGAACGAAAGGCTCGGCATGCTGCAGCTCAGCGTCTACGCAGACAAGCACCACCAGAGCTTCGCCCCAATCAACATCATTCACCACGTGGAGATGCGGTTGTTTTCCCCTCCGCTACGGTATCCGAAAAAAAAAAAAAAGCCGTAGCTGCGCATGCGCGCCGCCAGTCTTGTTTGTATATGTAGCGTCTCGGGTTGTTCTAGACTTGACTCGAGAGTTAAAATGGTCTGGGACGGTTTGTGAGAACACTGACATTTTATTTCGTTAACTGATTATTATTTGTCCAAACTTACAATAATGATGAAATAGCGATGTCGGCGTCTGTTCAGGCCGCTGGTCCCATGTCGTCTCGCTGCTCACTCTGTTTCGTCTCCGTTCAGTCGTCTGTCCCGACTCCTTTTTAAACCCTCGTGCTGAGGGTTACCTCGCGATGGCGTGAACTGGTGCGATCGCGAGGCAATACGTCAGCCAGATGAGACAGCAGTATTGGCAGTGCTATGGTGTGATTGCCAAGATGTTATCTAATGTGGTGCAATGGATGTTGCGCTGACTTATGTAAGCGTGCGGCAACATCCGTCGACGACGCAGCACTTGAGCCGGGTAAGGTAATCTGACGCTCTCCGGGGCCGCTCGATCGAGCGGAGAAAGGTTGTCTCGGGAGCCGCTGGGTCGGTGCGTGCGTACGTGACCACACATAGTTCGAGGTCTTGCGGCGGATTACGGAGCTCTATGCAAGTGCTTAGCGTGCTGGGGAAGCGGTCTACTAAAACTCCCTATAGGGAGTATTCACTGGCGGCCATATCCGTGTGCGCTGCTGCTGAGCGCGTGCTGACGGCGAGCTTCCGCAGTCCTTTTGGAGCGTGCATTTAGCACCATCAAGGTTGCCGGTCTTAGCAAGCTATTAATGTGACCTCGTTCTGAGCATGCGCTCTAAACATAGCCCTCAAATATGGCGTCCAGTGAGTACCTCCTATACTATTGTCGCGTCTGGTATGAAGTTGGTATACGTTCGAGTTAACACATATTACTGGTATATAGAGAAGAATGGTCTACATGTAAACGGACGCTTCCGCCACCCGAGGCTTAAGAGTGTCTTTCTACACACACACACACATACAGACACACACACGCACGCACACACGCTTACGCACACACACGCACACGCGCGCGCACACACACACACACATACATACATATATATATATATATATATAAGAAAATCACACGCCAGATGGTGTTAAACAAACGTTACAGCATTATACATGCATGCTGTGAATGCACCTTGTAGTTATAATTCCGCCTATTTTTCTGGGCTTCGTTTTTTTTTTGTATTGGTTTACTAGCCAAACTTACCACCATGCTGAAGTTTTTTTATAGCATTTTAAGATCCACAAAGCGGACACTGAATAAAAAAACGAAAGAAAGAAAAACATGCCCCAGAGAGCAACCTATTTATCTGTGAATTGTGGTCCAGTGATAGCGAATACCTTTCAAATCAAAACAAAAAGTGCTCGTTTTTCATAACCGCACGACATCAAGCTTCTTTCAGATCGTTAGCTAAATCGGGCCCCATTTTTTATAGTCGAGCCCAGGGAAAGTTTTCAATCAAATGGCAATCGATCAACCATCAAGTGTGATTATTTATTTAAAATATGTGGATGCAACGATGCACGTTCAGTTTTTTCTCGCGCACTAATCGCCATAAGATGGAAAGTATATGCCGCAATGCTCCCTTGGGAATCGTTGCACACTTACGGCAATGGATGACTGCGCCTCCGTTGCTAGAGCCCGATGATGTAAGGCATCTTCCCGCTGTCCGTGCGTTATGAGCCAAAAAAGTACTGTTTTTTTCCTGCAGGGGGGCTAGGTTTATATTTATCTTGAATATGAATGTGATCGATGAGACACCTTAGTTTAGCGATACGATTCGCGGAACTCACATGCGCTTTGTTCAACGAACGAAGCCCATCCGGTCAAAGTAGTGAAGTAACCACAGAAGAATTAAAAAAGACATATGGGAGCGAATTGGTTCACAGGTTAAAGAAACGCCATCAGCCGATTCTCTGCAGACTAATATATTAAAAAATACAATATCAAATCTTTCCAAACATTTCACCTTATAGAAAGTAGCCCCGATGCCATGTTGCACACGAGGAACTTTCAAACTCGATATATTTATGTGACTCGGCTACCAGAAGCACTCATAAAAATACCGGACGTTGGGCTTTAATTTATTCAGACATATACCAGCCTAGACTTCCGGCCGCTGCTCTTTTACTGACCCGAATAGAATATAAATTTGGTTCTCTTCTTTTCACAGAGACCCTCCTTAATGTAATGCAGCCGCGTCAGCTTTACCTATTTCGCGAATTAAAGCTACCCGTGATTATATTTACATGTGATATAAATGCGAGATGCTTACGCGAGAATGGTAAGAGAGTAGCCCTGTTTCATTTTACTTGTTCAGCCAGAAACATTGCATAAAGCTTATGTTATGTTCATGTCATTCATCTCTAACTATAGGCCAACTGGTCAGGCGACAGAAACCTGATCTACCTTCTGTCATAAAATAATTTGGGTTTACCGCGCTGTTACTTTATGGCATCCTGTTCTTGTTGAAACTGCCCTTCATTCTCAACAACAGAAATAACTGAAGCACAGCAGCTCCATATTTTGAGCTACATTGTATAAACAGTTTCGCACCCCCCCCCCCCCTTTCTCTTCTACCACCCTACAGACTCTAGTCTAGACTTCTTGCACTAACTTGGGAACACACGCCGGTCAAATATTCCTGGCATCTAGCCAACAAAACAGCAAAACTTTGAAGGGAAGCCTTAAAACCTGTCATTACATTTGACAGTAAAGTGTAGAGGATAGGTGATAAATGTTTTGCTTCGGAGACCTGCCCAAAATAAATCAAATGCCGTCCGCTCTTGGTCGCTTAATCGTTGGCCTCAGGTCACAGTTGCACAAACGTGAGGGCACGCCGAAGGACCGAAAATAAGACAGACAGACAGGAGCTGCTGGCGGGACATTCAAGCCCATGGGGGTAGTTAATCAGTGCTAGCGACTACCACTGGCGTCAATGTACTAATTGGGCAGGAGTGACGTCATTAAAGGTCACTACTTCAGGCTTAGCTGTCTTGTTCCCGGCGAATCAGATGGATGTTGCTTCATTGGGAGATAGCGGCCGCTGCAAGGTTAGTGTCCCATATGCTTCTGAACGAAGCAAGGCTGTCCGAT